GCCAGTGGGATAACCACTTTACAATTTTGGGGGGGGGGGTTAGAAGGAATACTTTATCCTATCCCAGGTATTCCTTAAAGAGGTGGGGTTTCAAGTGTCTCCGGAAGGTGGTGAGTGACTCCGCTGTCCTGGCGTCGTGAGGGAGCTTGTTCCACCATTGGGGTGCCAGAGCAGCGAACAGTTTTGACTGGGCTGAGCGGGAGCTATGCTTCCGCAGAGGAAGGGGAGCCAGCAGGCCAGAGGTGGATGAACGCAATGCCCTCGTTTGGGTGTAGGGACTGATCAGAGCCTGAAGGTACAGAGGTGCCGTTCCCCTCACTGCTCCATAGGCAAGCACCATGGTCTTGTAGCGGATGCGAGCTTCAACTGGAAGCCAGTGGAGTGTGCGGAGGAGGGGTATGACGTGAGAGAACTTGGGAAGGTTGAACACCAGACGGGCTGCGGCGTTCTGGATGAGTTGTAGGGGTTTAATGGCACAGGCAGGGAGGCCACCCAACAGCGAGTTGCAGTAGTCCAGACGGGAGATGACAAGTGCCTGGATTAGGACCTGTGCCGCTTCCTGTGTAAGGCAGGGTCGAACTCTCCGAATGTTGTAGAGCATGAACCTGCAGGAGCGGGTCACCGCCTTGATGTTGGCGGAGAACGACAGGGTGTTGTCCAGTGTCACGCCTAGGCTCTTCGCACTCTGGGAGGAGGACACAGCAGAGTTGTCAACCGTGATGGCGAGATCATGGAACGGGCAGTCCTTCCCCGGGAGGAAGAGCAGCTCCGTCTTGCCAGGGTTCAGCTTGAGGTGGTGATCCGTCATCCATACTGATATGTCTGCCAGACATGCAGAGATGCGATTCGCCACCTGGTTATCAGAAGGGGGAAAGGAGAAGATTAGTTGTGTATCGTCAGCGTAGCAATGATATGAAAGGCCATGTGAGGATATGACAGAGCCAAGTGACTTGGTGTATAGGGAGAAAAGGAGAGGGCCTAGAACTGAGCCCTGGGGGACACCAGTGGTGAGAGCACGTGGTGCGGAGAAAGCTTCTCGCCACGCCACTTGGTAGGAGCGACCGGTCAGGTAGGACGCAATCCAGGAGTGAGCCGCGCCGGAGATGCCCAGCTCGGAGAGGGTGGAGAGGAGGATCTGATGGTTCACAGTATCAAAGGCAGCAGACAGGTCTAGAAGGACAAGAGCAGAGGAGAGAGAGTTAGCTTTAGCAGTGCGGAGAGTCTCCGTGACACAGAGAAGAGCAGTCTCAGTTGAATGACCAGTCCTGAAACCTGATTGGTGTGGATCAAGAAGGTCATTCTGAGAGAGATAGCAAGAGAGTTGGCTAAAGACGGCACGCTCAATAGTTTTGGAAAGAAAAGAAAGAAGGGATACTGGTCTGTAGTTGTTGACATCAGTGGGGTCGAGTGTTGGTTTTTTGAGAAGGGGAGCAACTCTCGCTCTCTTGAAGACGGAAGGGACATGGCCAGTGGTCAGGGATGAGTTGATCAGCGAGGTGAGGTAGGGGAGAAGGTCACCGGAGATGGTCTGGAGAAGGGAGGAGGGGATGGGGTCAAGCGGGCAGGTTGTTGGGCGGCCTGCAGTCACAAGTCGCAGGATTTTATCTGGAGAGAGAGGGGAGAAAGAAGTCAAAGCATAGGGTAGGGCAGTGTGAGCAGGACCAGCAGTGTCATTAGACTTAACAAACGAGGATCGGATGTCGTCAACCTTCTTTTCAAAGTGGTTGACGAAGTCATCCACAGAGAGAGAGGAGGGGGGGGGGGGGGGGGGGGGGGGGATTCAGGAGGGAGGAAAATGTGGCAAAGAGCTTCCTAGGGTTAGAGGCAGATGCTTGGAATTTAGAGTGGTAGAAGGTGGCCTTAGCAGCAGAAACAGATGAAGAAAATGTAGAGAGGAGGGAGTGAAAAGATGCCAAGTCGGCAGGGAGTTTAGTTTTCTTCCATTTCCGCAACGCGGCCCGGAGCTCTGTTCTGTGAGCTCGCAATGAGTCATCAAGCCACGGAGCTGGAGGGGAGGACCGAGCCGGCCGGGAGGATAGGGGACACAGAGAGTCAAAGGATGCAGAAAGGGAGGAGAGGAGGGTTGAGGAGGCAGAATCAGGAGATTGGAGGGAGAAGGATTGAGCAGAGGGAAGAGATGATAGGATGGAAGAGGAAAGAGTAGTGGGAGAGAGAGAGCGAAGGTTGCGGCGGCGCATTACCATCTGTGTAGGGGCAGAGTGAGTAGTGTGGGAGGAGAGCGAGAGAGAAAAGGAAACAAAGTAGTGGTCGGAGACATGGAGGGGAGTTGCAGTGAGATTAGTAGAGGAGCAGCATCTAGTGAAGATGAGGTCAAGCGTATTGCCTGCCTTGTGAGTAGGGGGGGACGGTGAGAGGGTGAGGTCAAAAGAGGAGAGGAGTGGAAAGAAGGAGGCAGAGAGAAATGAGTCAAATGTGGACATAGGGAGGTTGAAATCCCCCAAAACTGTGAGGGGTGAGCCATCCTCAGGGAAGGAACTTATCAAGGCGTCAAGCTCATTGATGAACTCTCCAAGGGAACCTGGAGGGCGATAGATGACAAGGATATTAAGCTTAAATGGGCTAGTGACTGTGACAGCATGGAATTCAAATGAGGAGATAGACAGATGGGTTAGGGGAAAAATTGAGAATGTCCACTTGGGAGAGATGAGGATTCCTGTACCACCACCCCTCTGACCAGATGCTCTCGGGGTATGCGAGAACACATGGTCAGACGAGGAGAGAGCAGTAGGAGTTGCAGTGTTTTCAGTGGTGATCCATGTTTCCGTCAGCGCCAGGAAGTCGAGGGACTGGAGGTTGGCATAGGCTGGGATGAAGTCAGCTTTGTTGGCAGCAGAACGGCAGTTCCAGAGGCTGCCTGCGACCTGGAACTCCACGTGGGTGGTGCGTGCAGGGACCACCAGGTTAGAGAGGCAGCAGCCACGCGGTGTGGTGCGTTTGTGTAGCCTGTGCAGAGAGGAGAGAACAGGGATAGGCAGAGGCATAGTTGACAGGCTGTAGCAAATGGCTACAAAAATGCAGAGGAGATCGGAATGAAATGAGCTAAGCATCTGGGAGCGGAGAGAGCAGGGCCTCCCTCACCAAAAACTTCTACCTCAGAAACTAAAATTGTTTCACTGAACCACCCGAACAAAAACTCTCCCAACTTCCGCCTTTAGAAATCAGAATTGTTGTGAACCACAGCGGTTCAATGTTTAAAGGAATAGACTCAACCCACTTTATTCAGCTAGCCAACTATGACACCATAGCTAACTAGCAAGCTAGCATCCAATAACAATAACACACCGTTTAGTACCAACACTTGGTCACAACAAACCACCAATAGTGTGTTAACTAGCTAACTAGCATGCTAGCATCCAGTAACACACAGTTAAGCACCAACACTTGGTCACAACAAACCACCAATAGTGTGATAACACACTAAACAGATCATTCGTGTCTGTGTCAAGTTCCTTTCATGACGCAGCAATGATTAGACGTTGGCTAGCTAGGACAAGTATATTGTATTTAGCTACTACCGTACAGTTGGCTGGTCGTGTTGGGTAGCTAGCAATGGCCACTGTGTTGACTTAGTTTGAAGAACGGCTAGCTAGCTAGCTTCTTGCTACACCCGGCACACAATGGCTATTGTGTTGACTCTGACTCTGTTCGAAAAAAACGGCTAGGTAGCTCGCTTCGTGCTACAGCCGGCACTGCCAAGACACAGTAACTACACACAACCCACGATGCCTAGCTATGACGCCGTAGCTAACTTGCAAGCTAGCATCCACTAACACACAATTTAGCACCAATACTTGGTTACAACAAACTGCCAAGAGTGTGTTAGCACACTAAACAGATAATTCAAGTCCGTGTCTAGTTCCCTTCATAACGCATAACGCAGCAAAAAATTAAACGTTGGCTAGGACTACATTAGCATTGGAACCAGCTCTCCAGCGTTGCTAATCGTTACCAGTAGCTACCCGCTAGCTAGCTAGCCTCGTGCTTCGATACTAACCTAAAAATTACCTACGGAAACCTACAATAACAACAATACTAATCTATAATAAATACAATACCTAACTACAGCTAACTACCTACCTACGATCTAATACATGGTTAAGCAAAAAATTAAACGTTGGCTAGCAGCACATTACCTTAGGAACCAGCTCTCCAGCGTTGCTAATCGTTACCAGTAGCTACCCGCTAGCTAGCTAGCCTCGTGCTTCGATACTAACCTATAATTACCTACGGAAACCTACAATAACAACAATACTAATCTATAATAAATACAATACCTAACTACAGCTAACTACCTACCTACGATCTAATACATGGTTATGCTTTACTCAACACCATTTGAGGAGCTTATCTCCTGCTTACCTCCAGCTAGAGAAAAACACGACCTCACCCGACAACGTCCAGCATTTCGGCATATAGACAGGTGTGTGCCATTCCAAATCATGTCCAATCAATTGAATTTACTACAGGTGGACTCCAATCAAGTTTGCAAACATTTCTCAAAACCTGTTTTCGCTTTGTCATTATGAGGTATTGTGTGTAGATTGATGAGGGAAAAACATTTATTTAATCAATTTTACAATAAGGCTGTAACGTAACAAAATGTGGAAAAAATGAACAGGTCTAAATACTTTCCGAATGCACTATATCATTAATTTAGTCCAACAAATGTATGTAGCAACTGCTTATTGCCCCTTTAAGAGTGTGTTTTGGTCTTTAACAAGGTTATCAATCTTATTTGTAAATGTCCAATAGCGATATCGGAATTGATCATTTTATCTGTGTTACTCTGCAGGGAAAACTCACAGACTTTTCCCCCATAAGGGGTTGAATGTCAACTGTTATTATAGGGCATTCAACCACTTTATTTGAGAGCAATGTGCAGCTTTTCCCTCCAGATTGTGAGCATGATTTCTGAAGATCGGCACACCTATGCCAAGCATTGACACATAGTTCAACTTTCGTATTGATTCTCTCTCCAGAGCATGACAAGTCCTCTGGAGAAGGTGGAGGCCCAGAAGAAAGAGGCCATCAAGGCTGTGATGGAGAGTTTTGAGTGAGGGGCTGAGGTGTTGGCCAGCGCAGTATGGGAGCTCTTCCCTCTCTGCGAGGCAGCTGCCCCTGTCCTAAGACTAGCCCTGGACAAAGTAAAGAGCAAAGAGGTCTTCTATGTCAAAGAGCAGTTCCTGGCCGTGAGGAACAAGCTGGACGTACTGTCCACCGAGCTGGAGGACATTGACTGTGAGATTAAGAAGCATGGAGGATAACATCAGGAACCAGTTCCGGAGGTACATGGACATTTGGGAGGCCAAGCCACAGTTTCAGGAGGTCAAGAAGAGGATGTTTCTGGAGCACTTCTCCAAGACCGGAGGGGAGAAGAACCTGTATGATGCTCTGATGGGAACCAACAGCTTTCAGGAGTCGATCTTGGAGGTGGTGCAGAGGTAAAGTGTTCTTAACCATGCTAAATGTGCCTTTTATGCACCTGTGGAGGATGGTGTTTATTGAGTATTTTAATTCAAGAGCACTTGTGGCATGAATATGAACTGTTAACTTGTGATTATGGTAAATAGGATGATTATATTTATTGTTATTCACATTTTTTTACATTTTAGTCATTTAGCAGACGCTCTTATCCAGAGGGACTTACAGTTTGTGCATACATTATTATTATTTTTTTTTTTTTTCATACTGGCCCCCCTGTGGGAATCGAACCCACAACCCTGGCGTTACCAACTGAGCTACATCCCTGCCGGCCATTCCCTCCCCTACCCTGGACAACACTGGGCCTGGATTCGAACCAGGATCTCTAGTGGCACAGCTAGCACTGCGATGCAGTGCCTTAGACCACTGCGCCACTCGGGAGTTTACAACAGCTGAGTGGTTGGTTCTCCATCTGTCTCAGGTATGAGGCGAGAAACAGGCGCATACCGGAGGACTTCTGTGTGAGGATGAAGGAGCTCTTCTGCCTGGGCCTGATTGCCCTGCTGGGCCACTGTGCCCTCACCAAGGGCCCCGATGAGGAGCAGGAAACCATCCACGACTGGAGCAGCAAAATCGAGGAAGTGGAATCAAAGATGAAGGCATGCATCGAGGTCTGCGTAGCAGCCTTCTCTGAACAGGCCTGCCTTGACGCCCAGCGTCTTCTCCAGGAAAAAGAGGAACGCAATCTTCAGGACACGGCTCAGGAAGTACAGGAATTCCTCACCAGGAAGTACGACTGGGTGAGCTGGTCGGTCTGAGTGGTCAACCACTCTGGCAGCAGCTATCGGAACTGGCGTGCCGGGGACCACTTCCAACACATGGCTGGTCAGAACTGGTTTGAGGTGCTGCAGGTGAACGATACCAACCTGGTGGTTTCCTACAGCACCAGTCCCCAACCGGTGCCCCGCGATTGCATCCGGCAACTGATGGAGGGGCCGGGGAAGAAGGGCGGTGCCCAGGCCGTGGTGGAGGTCCTGGAGAAGCAGCTGGCGGGGTTCGTGGTGCATGCTGTCAGTCGCCACAAGGAGAGCGAGGCCACCTGGAGCTTCCCTGAGGACTGCCACTACTGGGAGAGGCACAAGAACGTGGCGCTGTGCATACACTCAGAGTGATGCTGATAGAGGTGCAACAAGTCAGACAAATAGGGATCATTTATGTAATCAACCTGAGGGGTTATTCTAAATTCTGAGTTGACCACCTCAAAGAGGATGTGTGGGGAATTATGGTAAATGGTGATGAGGTTTTGTGACTACGCCATGCAGTTTGTCCTAGCCATTACATAATACTATGCACTGTGTATAGCAAGAAGCTTTGGTGACGAATAGTATAGAAATCTGAATGTTTTGCAAATTTGAGGCAGTGTTACAATATTTAATGAACTGTATATTAATTTTATTATAAGTGACTAACCCCTACCATAGCGTATGACCACATTTTAATCAATGCTCTCTCGTAGTTAAATAGCTTAACTCAATGCATCTTACCCTACAGCCAAATACTCACAGTTGTTGAATAACCTTGCTGGCCACAATTCCAAAGAGATGATTTAGCTGAGATTGCAACTGCTGAGCTGTGCTCTCATTTTGTCTCTCTACGACACAGGCTGGCCTACATTACAATGAAAGAGAGCATGGCAGCTGATTTGCAGACAGTGAAAACAACTTGGCACTCAGTGTTCTTTACTGTACCTTGTCTTCACAACACACTCAAACCCTTGCTTCTGAACCCATATCAAGCATGCTGCAGTAGCAGAACTTTAATGGTTTTACCTCCCGAGATGTGCCTATTCTTGAATAGATTATTTATGCCAGTTGTTACAACATGGATGTGAAGTGATGCTTAATTTACTAATCTTTCTAATTCGTACATTAACGAACAATTAGCAGCTGGTTTGATGGATTTAATATTTTAACCTGCTTAGGCATTCTTATAAAAACTCTATGTAGTAGATCCTAAGGTCTGTTTAGAGACATGTTCTTCTCTGACCAACCACATCTACCCGTCTCCAGGAAAAGATAGCAGCCCATATCAATATTTCATAAACAAATGAGTGATTTGATGGAGGACAGCATCAGATTGGCCCTGGAGGGTCTGGATCAATGGTAGGATGGCTCTGCCCAGCTGTCTCTGCCAATCCCAGCCCAGGATAATGTTATTACCCATCAGTCCGAGTGGACCATCGACCAGCCTGCTGCTCTTTAAATTGGCTAATCCGATAAAAAGCATTAAAACATTTGTTCAGTGACACACAGCAGCATGTCCAGCCCAGCACTCAGGATCGACTCTGTAAAAGGTCTCTATCCTGGCTGGAGGATCTGCATTTAGAGGTTGGAGCTGTAGTCTTGTGAGTGTTCAGCTATGCACTTCTCTAGGAGTAGTGGTACTCTATATGGGACTCTATGAAATAGTGTATGGAATGTCTGTAGAACACATCTTTATGGTGAAATACCATGGGGAAAGTGTTTCCAGTGAATACAAAACATGTGTTTTTGCCATCTGCACTGCCTCAAACAATTCCCTCATGTTGCGCAACACTTCCGGTCTCCCCTCATGCCCTCAGTGCTTTCCCCTCAAGGCCTCATGAAGTTTGTGTTAGCAGTATAGCCTAGACTTCCCCCAGCCAAATTCCTCTCCTCATAGCGGTTCATACATCACATCAGCAGCCAAGAATCTCAGCAGTTCTGTCTGTGTCATGGCTCTCTCTCTCTCTCTCTCTCTCTCTCTCTCTCTCTCTCTCTCTCTCTCTCTCTCTCTCTCTCTCTCTCCTCTCTCTCTCTCTCTCCTCTCTCTCTCTCTCTCTCTCTCTCTCTCTCTCTCTCTCTCTCTCTCTCTCTCTCTCTCTCTCTCTCTCTCTCTCTCTCTCTCTCTCTCTCTCTCTCTCAAGATATTTCAGGTGTCATATTATGTCTATATACAGTGTTGTAATGATGTGCAAATAGTTAAAGTACAAAAGGGAAAATAAATAAACATAAATATGCAGCAGTATTTACAATGGTGTTTGTTCTTCACTGGTTGCCCTTTTCTTGTGGCAACAGGTCACAAATATTGTTGCTGTGATAGCACACTGTGGTATTTCACCCAATAGATATGGGAGTTTATCAAAATTGGGTTTGTTTTCAAATTCTTTGTGGATCTGTATAATCTGAGGGAGTGCCGCTCAGTTTCCACCTCATTTTGTGGGCACTGTGCACATAGCCTGTCTTCTCTTGAGTGCCAGGTCTGCCTACGGCGTTCTTTGAGTGAGAGAGAGGCCCTAACTCTCTCTGTTCTCCCTCTGTTCTCCCTCTGTTCTCCCTCTGTTCTCCCTCTGTTCTCCCTCTGTTCTCCCTCTGTTCTCCCTCTGTTCTCTCTCTGTTCTCTCTCTGTTCTCTCTCTGTTCTCTCTCTGTTCTCTCTCTGTTCTCTCTCTGTTCTCTCTGTTCTCTCTGTTCTCTCTCTGTTCTCTCTCTGTTCTCTCTCTGTTCTCTCTCTGTTCTCTCTTTTTCTCTCTTTTTCTCACTCCCCCCCCCCCCCCCCCACACACACACACACTCACCTCTCTCACTCTCATACATACACATATACTGTATCTACAACCAGTCACATCAGAACTTCAGCATTCATAAAATACATACATATTCTTCAAATTTTTTAAATTTTTTACCTTGTCCTTTGAGAATGATGCCGTTGCAAGTTCCACGTGTGCAACTTGTATGGTGTACATTTGTCTGTCTGTAAGACAAATTAACATTCTGGAACACAGCACTGATACAAGTGTAACTGTATCTAACTATTTAACAGACTTTGGTGGACACTCATGGTTACCCTATGTGGTCTCTTTGTTAAGCGCTGTGGCACTCCTCTCTTCGTATGAATGGTATTAGTTGTTTGGCTGGTATAGTGTGGGCCTGTGTGTGGTAGACTGGGGTCCACAGCAAGGGGCCATAGCCAATAACACTGGAACAATGAGGCATGTGAAGGAATCACGTGACTGTCTAGCTGACCATACTGATGAGGCCAGATTCTAAAGAGAGCTACACTGCCTCACTGGGTTGTGTGCAACTCAATCAAGCAGATACAGTGGGGGAAAACAAGTATTTAGTCAGCCACCAATTGTGCAAGTTCTCCCACTTAAAAAGATGAGAGAGGCCTGTAATTTTCATCATAGGTACACGTCGACTATGACAGACAAAATGAGTTTTTTTTTCTCCAGAAAATCACATTGTAGGATTTTTAATGAATTTATTTGCAAATTATGGTGGAAAATAAGTATTTGGTCACCTACAAACAAGCAAGATTTCTGGCTCTCGCAGACCTGTAACTTATTCTTTAAGAAGCTCCTCTGTCCTCCACTCGTTACCTGTATTAATGGCACCTGTTTGAACTTGTTATCAGTTTAAAAGACACCTGTCCACAACCTCAAACAGTCACACTCCAAATTCCACTATGGCCAAGACCGAAGAGCTGTCAAAGGACACCAGAAACAAAATTGTAGACCTGCACCAGGCTGGGAAGACTGAATCTGCAATAGGTAAGCAGCTTGGTTTGAAGAAATCAACTGTGGGAGCAATTATTAGGAAATGGAAGACATACAAGACCACTGATAATCTCCCTCGATCTGGGGCTCCACGCAAGATCTCACCCCGTGGGGTCAAAATGATCACAAGAACGGTGAGCAAAAATCCCAGAACCACACGGGGGGACCTAGTGAATGACCTGCAGAGAGCTGGGACCAAAGTAACAAAGCCTACCATCAGTAACACACTACGCCGCCAGGGACTCAAATCCTGCAGTGCCAAACGTGTCCCCCTGCTTAAGCCAGTACATGTCCAGGCCCGCCTGAAGTTTGCTAGAGTGCATTTGGATGATCCAGAAGAGGATTGGGAGAATGTCATATGGTCAGATGAAACCAAAATATAACTTTTTGGTAAAAACTCAACTCCTCGTGTTTGGAGGACAAAGAATGCTGAGTTGCATCCAAAGAACACCATACCTACTGTGAAGCATGGGGGTGGAAACATCATGCTTTGGGGCTGTTTTTCTGCAAAGGGACCAGGACGACTGATCCGTGTAAAGGAAAGAATGAATGGGGCCATGTATCGTGATATTTTGAGTGAAAACCTCCTTCCATCAGCAAGGGCATTGAAGATGAAACGTGGCTGAGTCTTTCAGCATGACAATGATCCCAAACACACCGCCCGGGCAACGAAGGAGTGGCTTCGTAAGAAGCATTTCAATGTCCTGGAGTGGCCTAACCAGTCTCCAGATCTCAACCCCATAGAAAATCTTTGGAGGGAGTTGAAAGTCTGTGTTGCCCAGCGACAGCCCCAAAACATCACTGCTCTAGAGGAGATCTGCATGGAGGAATGGGCCAAAATACCAGCAACAGTGTGTGAAAACCTTGTGAAGACTTACAGAAAACGTTTGATCTGTGTCATTGCCAACAAAGGGTATATAACAAAGTATTGAGAATCTTTTGTTATTGACCAAATACTTATTTTCCACCATAATTTGCAAATAAATTCATAAAAAATCCTACAATGTGATTTTCTGGATTTTTTTTCTCATTTTGTCTGTCATAGTTGACGTGTACCTATGATGAAAATTACAGGCCTCTTTCATCTTTTTAAGTGGGAGAACTTGCACAATTGGTGGCTGACTAAATACTTTTTTCCCCCACTGTATACCTCAGAATATGATTTGAGACACAATAGACAGTATAATCTGGTTACAATGAAACAGATTATTGGAATGCAGCTGTTGTCCACATTTTCTAACATTGCTCCTACCTGCGTGTATCAGATACATTTTAATGTATAAGCCACTCTGCTGAAACTTACAGTAAAAGGCAATCCTGAAATTGGGGGGTTAAAACATATGCTTAAACAAGATTCACCACAGTCAGAGTAATATAATTTTAATTTTGCATGAAATCTGAAGGTGGTTCGCTTCGTTTGTAAGGCCAAGGATTACCTCTGAGGTGAATTTGTCTACAATCAATAAGCTTCTCTATCCCAGCCTCTGAACCTTTATCTGTTTCCTCTGATCTAGCCTGAGTTTGTGTCAATCTGTGGGAATGACTGATGGCCTGGGCCTGTCTCTGTGGTGGAGAGACAGACTAGCGTCTTTCACCA